ATTGTATCAACCAACTCCAGGGACCTGGCTAGCAGGAAAGAAATGAAGATATCCATGTACCCAGGCATCTTCCCTACCACTGTTGCTGATGAGAAAGTTGAATTTCTTAGTTGAATTTCTTCTTTATTTTCCCTGACCTTTTTCAGGGGGAGGTGAGAGGATGTCTAAGAGGTCAACTACAGAGGAAAAGGGGAATAAAAACAACAAGTATGAAAGCATCCACTAGCAGAATAACAAAGTTCTCAGGAACTCAGGACGCTGAGCCTGGGGGAAGCAGGAAGTGGGGATCGGAAGAGGGGAGACAGATGCCTGAGGCTGCTGGGGGGTATGATTACACAGAGCTGGACCCTGGTTCAGCCTAAGGAAGGGCTTTCAGATCATTGACACCATCCACTGCCGGTTGGGCTGTCAGATACAGTGGGATCCTCCCACAGCCAGTTGAGCAGAGCTGAAGCTCTGGCCCTTAGTGTCCCATTCAGGGCTCAATGCTCTGAGAACAGGAAGAACCCCCAGAAACAGAAGGCAGAGGGGTTGAGGCGGCTGGTGCTACATTTCCCAGGCATGCAAACAGGTGGGGAGCATTATTTGTGGCACACAGGAAATGCTTATGGTCTGACTTCAACACAGGAAGCACTTAGCCAGCAATCAGCTCATTTCCTTCATCATCCTGTGCGCCCATCAAAGCCTTGATAGTGTTATCAGGGCCTATAAGGAGTGCCTAGAGGGTTTGAACTTGAGCCCCTTGGTAAATGGTGGGCGCCTCTGGCTCCAGGGACTTTTTTAGTACTCAGCCCCATCCCTCTAAAGCAGGACACCAAAAGCCCCTGTAAGTCATCAAAAGCTAAAACCCCTATAATATCATAAAAAGTCAAGCAGAAAGCTTGATCCACGTGGCATCACAAGCAGACCATAATGACAGATACATAGGCCGAGAGCCACAAGGCTGACCTTCTCAGCAGCTAGACAGTGACCTCCTGCCAAGCTTTCTGAAGTGCTGAAAAGATTTTTCAGATCCTCGTCCCCATGCTCATGAACTTGGGCTCCAGAAACCCCCAGTTTCAGAACCATGCTTCCTAACCTCTCTTGATGTGAATACCAGTTTTATGATACCAAAATGTTCCTCCAAAACTCAACTGATGGAAGTCCACTTTTAATACTAGTTGATTTAAGAAATTCAGAGGTTTATACGAATCCACTCAGAGCTCTCTGCAACCATCCCCAGGCACCCCTACTCTCATGTGACTTGTCACCGCAAGTCAAGAAGAGAGGTCTCAGGAGGTTTGGCTCTGGACTTGAACTGTCCAATATGGTAGCCTTATCCACAAGGATTTAGTGAGCATATGAAATGTGGTTAAAACACATGCCACACTTCAAAGCCCTAATACAGAATAAAATGTAAATACCTCTTAATAATTTCATATTAACTATAGGGTAAAATAATATTTTGGCTATACTGGACTAAGTAATATGTGTTATGGGCTGAAACGTGTTCTCTCCAAATCCATATGCTGAAGTCCTAACTCCTATGCCTAAGAATGTTGGCTATATTTGGAGATAGGACTTTTTAAAGGGCAATTAAGTGAAAATGGGGCCATTAGAGTGGGCCCTTATCCAAAGGGACTGGTATCCTTAGCAAGAGAGGAAATTGGGACACAGAGACATCAGGTATGGGTGGAACAGAAGAAAGACCACATGCAGCCACAGTGAGAAGCCAACCCAGCAAGCCAAGGAGACAGACCTCAGGAGAAACCTACCCAGCCGACACCCGACCCTGTGGCTTCAGCCTCCAGAACCGTGAGCGAATACATTTCTGATGTTTAAGCTACCTAGTCTTAGGCCTTTGTTATGGCAAACTAATTCACATGCCATTAATTTCTTCTAGTTAACTTTTTCAGTGTGGCTTCTAGAAAATTCGTAACCCCTCTGTGGTTTGAAGGACACTGCACAGTGCTGCTCTGGAGTTCCTGCCATGGGGACAACTCCTCACGCTGGCTAGCAGGGAGCAAAGCTGCCGTGAGGCCCTGGGGCCCAGGTACAGCTCCCTTCATTTGAATCAAGGGTCTCACCACTTGCCACCAGGCCCCCCAGCCAGTGAACTGCCTTTCCACACAGTTGTCTGGTTTTCTTAAAGGCAAAGTAACAGCCTTGAACCGTTTCCTGAAATTGTTTGAGTCACTCCCTCATTCCCTCCAGGGTGAGGAAGCTGGGGAGGCTCAGAACTGAGCCATCATCACCTGGTGGGTCTGTAACTAACAAACAAACCAAATCACAAAGGGTATCCAGAGGTAGCAAGGACACCTGCCTGGAAACTCCAACTCAGTGGACTCTGCATGCTGAGCTTAGCTCTCCATAAGCAGTGCCTCACTTCCCGCCTTACACCACCCCCAGGGGTGACAATTTCTGGCCCGTCTTTTCCCTGTATTAGGTTTATACCCAAGGACAGAGATTATCCAGAAACAGATTTCATATTAAAGACTCCAAAACGGTTATGTCATGTGTACTCAGAGTCTTACATACCTAATTCTAGGTTCAAAAAGTTTGATCTATTACTAGGGGTGGGGGGTGGGAGGGTGTCTCAAGTTCAATCCATTACCTCTATCGATTCTTAGAAATGGACAGTAAGGAAGAGGTAACACTTGCACCTGCTCATTTAACCAGTATTTTCAGGGTCCATGCCCACACATGGCCCAGGGTGATGGGGCTCACTTCCTAAGCGCCCTGTCCTACAAGAAACGAACACACAAATCCATGCAGGAAGCAGCTGCCAAGACAGCTATCGTCTGAGTGGGACCAGAGAGCCCCCAGACCAGTCCCCTGCGGAATAGGGTGGCAGAGAGGAATCGGGGCTCAGACCAGATGCCCGGGCAGACTAACAGCTCCTGAGAGGTCCCAGTGGTCTCCATCTCCCCAGGGCTCACAGAGTGGCTGGCACACACTGAGTGCTCAAAAAATGGAGTGTCATCCAAACTGTAACACTGGAGAACAAAGCAGGAGCTACCAGCTGGGTCAACTACCAGCTGAACGGGCTATGTCACCCATCCTTCACCTGTAACTTTGGGTCCCTATTTTTCCCAGTTCCCTACTTCATGGACCTGCAGCATCAGAGTCACCAGGGAACTTGCTAGAAATTCACCTCAGACGTGCTGTATCAGGATCTGCATTTAACAAGGCCCCCAGGTGCTTGGCGGTCATGGTGCCATTTGAGGAATTGTGTCAACGGGCTCACTAAGACAACTGAGAGGCTCTGTTCCAGATGGAGAAGACAGATGCCAGCAGGAAGAGTTGGGTCACTATTTGCCCTCTTCTTTGCCCACAGAGATCATTTACTTTTTATTTTCTTTTCAACATCTGCTTCTAATCATTTAAAAAAAAAAAAAATTCTCCCAAACACCTACGACACAAGTCTTGACTCATTCTGAATGCAGCAGTCAGGTGGGTAAAAGACACATGGGGTAGAGGTGAGGGGAAAGGGGGATGCTGTTTACCAGATGCCTTCTAATAAACCAATATTACAATTATTTTGAGTCTTCCCTTTCTCAGTTTCAGGAAGCTGAAGCTTGGCAATAAAGATGAGGAAACTTGCTCAAGACCACGAAGTTGACCAGAGAGCACGCTGGCCTGGTCCACCACGCCCAGCCCTTGCTGTCCCAAGCAGGAAAAGCACTGCAGTTCATGCACTTGGCAGATGCTGGGTTGAAGAGGAACGTCTCCATGCAGCAGGAGCATCAGGAAGGAGCACCTTTCTAGACCAACAGGCAATTCCATAATAGGTCTCCATCCTCTTATGTTGCCATCTTTTATGCCACTGAGAATAGAAGACATCAGACACAAGACTCAAAAGTTCTCTAATATGGTTTCCTCCAATGCATGTGCATCCCCTGTGTGTCGACACAAGCACTTGTGTGTAAATGTTCCAAAAGAACCATGTTCCACAGTGTGGCCCTATGGGTTCAATCCCCACTACCAAAACACAGACACCCCAGAATTAGACCACTTCTCACCTTCACTGTGATTAGCCCAGCCAGAGCTCTCATAGCTAACCAGCGTCCCTGCTTCTGTCCTATGCCTACAGTCCATTCCAACACAGTATCCAGGGGGTCCTTTAAACACAGAAGTCAGAGCACATCATCTCTCTGCCCAGATCCCTTGCACAGCTCCCATTTCACTCAGAATAAAGGCCAAGACCTCCTCGGGGCCTGTGAAGTCCAACATGGCCTGTGCCTAACACCACTGCCGCTCCATCCTCCTCTCACACTGGCCTTCCTGCTCCCCTCAAATAGGTGACTCGGGTTCCTGTCTGAACACTTCTCCAGATGCCTCTGTGCTGCTCTCCTGTTCCTTCAAGTCTTCGCCGAGATCTCACCTTCTCAATGGGGTTGCCTGACCACCCAAGCCCCAAGACTGCACCATCTTGTTCTAGTTTGTTTTCATAGCTCTCACCACCTTCTAGCAAACTTCAGTTTACTTCTTTGTTCTACTGTCTGTGTCCTTCCACTGAGATATGAGCTCCCAGTGGGCAGGGATCCTTGTCAGTTCATGGTTGGAACTGGCCCACTAGACCAAGACATTCTAGCACCCAATGCACAGTTCTTGAAAAAGTAGGTGGTCAAGAGAGTAACATTCTTGAGCCACTGGACCAACATCCGCAACTTCTGTTCCTCTAGAAGACAGAAAATTCAACTTGATATGCTTCGACCCTGTACTGGTTCTCAGGTCCTGACAGCTGAACAGATTTCCCAGCTGATACCTCTGGAAAACAGAGGCACCCTGTTTTTTTCCCCTCAGACTGGGATCCCTGCAGATATCATGGTACTCAGAGCCCTACTAATGACTGATCCCTTTCTCAGGGCCTGGAACTTGCCTCTGCTCCAGGGTACAGAGGAGAGAGGTGGTAAGCTCTTCTCCTATTACATCACCTCCCTTACTACTGAAAGCCCCCTGATGGGGAATGGCAACTGAGTTTGGAAAACCATATTAAAACAGTAGCTAAAATACACCCAATGTTGGATGTATGTTTTAAAATACATAGGTCACAATTATTCTGCGATACTCCTGCAGACAAATGTACATTTTGGGTTCTGTTTGGGAAAGTGGGATAAAGTCTCTGATGTATAGGTAGGAGTGGATACCTGGAAGGACGGTGCACCCCCAAAGCAGCAGCCAATGATATATATCTGTGGAGAATGTCACATAGAAAATGAAATGAAATCCAGGGATCAAATCAGATGCAGAGAATGTGGATATAGAATAATGTACAAGAAACGAAACCAAAGATTGGTGGGTTTTGATGCTTGATGAAACATGGAAATTCAGGAGTATCTTCCTTTGTACTTGGATTTGACCATTTAATGTTTCTCACTGTACAGCTTTTCATTTAGCACACTTATCTTATGAATACAATTATATACATGATTTCATTTTCCAAACCAAATCGTGTTTAGGTATCAATAATTTGTGTAAAGACCTTTTTTGTTTAATGAAATATTTTTTTTTTAAAAACCACACATTTTTCAATCAACTCATGATCAAAACCAACCCAAACAGAAGGACCTTCTATAATGCAACCGACCTGTCCTATTAAAAAATGTCAAGGGCATAGACGGGTAACTCCTAGTAATGGCTCCAGGCTAAAAGTCACAACAACACTGAAAGCCCCCTGATGGGGGTTGCTCTGGGGTTCCCTTTCACTAGAAGGACCTGAGGACAACTGGAGAAATGTGAGAAGTTCCATGATGAGCTAATAGTAATGTATATTTAAATTTCCTGACTTCAATAAGCATGCTCTGATTAAGAGTGTCCTTGTCTGGGGTAAGATGCCTGATGTATGTAGAGGAAAAGGAGTCTTGCCTGTAACTTTCCTTCAAGGGATAAAGAGTATGATAGATGACAAAGTAAGCATGATAATGATGGTTAACATTTGGGCAACCTGGGGGAAGAATTTATGGCCGTCTTTTGTGCTAGCTCGGTAATTCTTTTCTAAGTCTCATTATTTAAAGAAAATATTTTACATAAAACATGTGAATGTATAGACACACATGGAGCGAGACAGATAGGGAGAGAAGGAGGAAGAACATGCACATGGGATGTTTGTCAAAAGTCTGCCCAATTCCAAACCAACTGGAATCCAGTGTTTTTGTGACTTTTTACCCTATTCACTTTACTTCCATCCAGTCAAATGCTTACTGAGAAAATGACTTTCTTGTTCAAGGGCCTAAAACCACCCTTCCAAAATAAAAAGATGCCATCTTTATACACTGACCAAAACTAACATCTTCTCTTTAATCATACAGGCAGAAATAAAATCTATATTTTTATAAAAACAAAAGACAAACAATCCAGTGGTATAACTGCTGAATATAATGGTCCTCTCATCTTATGTGCTAAGGCTTCTGGGGCCAGGCTTGCTTTCCTTAAAGCAGGTGGACAGACTACCAAGGATGTGAGGGAAGGACAAGTGTGAAGTTTGAGATGTGCTGGGCCTTCAGGAAACCTTAGCTGGCTCCAAGTCCTTCCTTAGAAGAGCTGTGGGCAACCCCCACACCCCACACTGCCATCCAGACACGGCCCCATGACCAATGCTTTTATCCATGTCCATCTTGACATGGTGCACAGCATGATGGCGCATGGCTGGCCCCCACTTCCCCTTTCGTGATTCCAAAACACATGACTTCCATTATCAGTTCTGCCTTGAAAGCCACTCCCCTCATCCTCTGCAGCAGGTCCTGGGGACAGCCCAGGATGCATGGGAGGCTGCTCCATGGTACATTCCCTGCGCAAGAACATTGCTGTCTTCATCCAGGGTTGTCTTAGGCCCTTCCACATGGAGTTGAAGGGGTCACACAGAAAAGCTCTACTTGGGAACCCAAAGTCTGGCAGAAGGTGGGGAGTTCCGATCAAGGCAGCCTAAGGGACCAGCTAAGGTGATTCCAAGACCTGCTGCTCCTCCAGCCACACGGGGACTCACTTAGCAGGCCAGAGAATTCCCTGAATGACTTGGGAATGGATGCCTTGGGAAGGTGGAGAAGGTAAGGGAGAGAACCATGGCATCATTTGGGCCACCTTGATATGCTGAGAAAATAACTGGTAAGAAAAGGGTAGGACGAGCCCTTCAGTTTTACTTGATGAAGTCACCAAGCAAGAAGACCAGAAGGCTAAAAGATAAAAGACTCAAAGAATATCCATGCTGCACTAAGGCAGACCTGGCCAAATTCAAGTTCAGGAAAATAACAAATCCTCAGAGTTCAAACAGACCCAAGGGAGGTCGTATCTACCCTTTACCAGCCCCTCCCGCCTCCAAGCAAACACAAGGATCAGCAACTTACTACTCTTCAGCATGCAAAGGCTGCTGAGCAGAATCCCCACATGCTTGTGTGAGGCCAGGGTGAGGAATAAAGCCTCAATACAGTTCAGTAAAATCTTTTTCCATTATTTGCAATGTAAACTTCTTACATGAGCTAATAAATTCAGTCAAAACACAAGAGTGCCTCTGAACCAAATGTACAAACATAAAAGCTGTAGTCTAGTGATTAAACTGTCCTCACAAATTTACTTTCCTTTTATTCATCAATTTAAAAAGCCACAGGAAACCAAGATAAAAGACTGTGATAATGACACGGCCATGGGTTAGACATGGCTGCAGGGATGTGACCAGCTTATTATCACAGCAGACGCAGCGCTATGCTGGAGCTTGCTGGCACCGGCTTACAACAGTCCACTGCTCAAGTTCCAGAAGGTCTTTAAGCCAGTGTTAAACACAGCCATCCGGAAAAGTCAAACTGGGTACTTACAATAAGTTATATTAAGGTAAAGATCATAAATACTTAAAACTCATCACTTCCTAATTATTTTACTGTATTGTTCTAGCATCTATGCTCTGGAGGTTATTTAGATCTATTGGGAATACAAGAGTGGGCTACTGCACCTCTCTTCCTAACTACACACTCAGTGAACTCATACTGGTAGCTTGAAATCCACCACGAGGAGAATATTGACATCAGGGAAATGGGCAAAATGCTTCAAGTCAGGTGACCCCTCCCCGAGAGCCAGTTGTTAATCACCAGTAGCTGCCACCTCTGGGCCATGTGCCCTGAGACGCTCACAGGATTCATTATGGCAAAGACGTGAAGCCTCTCGCTAGCCTTACAACCTTGGACAAGGTACTTCTATTCACTTATCACATCCTAGAATAGTATGTGACACACAAGTACTAGTTAGTTCTAGATTATCTCTATGAGCAGTGGTTAAAAACCCAGGATTGCTAGGTTCAAACCCTGTCTCTACTACTTACTAGCTGTAAAAGCCGTAGGCCAATTCCTCAGCTCCTCTATATCTTGACTCCCAAACAATAAAATGAGGATAAAAACAGCAACTATTCTACATGTGGTAACTGGCACATAGGAAACACTCGGCTAGTGTTAGCTGATCCCATGACTATCACTCTAAATAGTGTAGTTATTTTTTTTTTTTTAACTGGGAAATGAACCCAGAGACTATTAAACACTGGGTCACATCCCTAATCCTTTTTATTTTTTGAGACAGAGTCTCACTGAGTTGCATAGCGCCTCACTACATTGCTGAGGCTGGCCTTAAACTTGCAATCCTCCCGTCTCAGCTTCCTGAGCTGTTGGGATTACAGGCATGAACCACCTTGCCCACCTTGAATATTGTAAAAATTCTTTATAAATCATTTCAAAGGGAGGTTGACTATTAAATAAATTCCTAGTCCTAATTTCTATATTATCACACCTCACTTTTCCCCAGGCACACTCTCTTATCTTCTAACCAGGACCACTGAGAAATATGGCTGTTTCCAAAATTTAAATTTCCTCCTAAAGAATAAATATTTACCCAAAAGTGAGGAACTATTTAAACCAAGAAGAAAATTTTGAAATAGGAATGATGATAGGTATGGTGGTGCACACTTGTGATCCCAGTGACTCAGGAGGCTGAGGCAGGAGGATTACAAATTCTAAACCTGGCACAAAATAAAATAAATAAATAAATAAATAAACCTGGCACAGTGTCGCACACCTATACTCCCAGTGGCTAGGGAGACTGATGCAGGAGGACCACAAGTTCAAAGCCAGCCTCAGAAAAAGCAAGGTGCTAAGCAACTCAGTGAGACCTGTCTCTAAATAAAATACAAAATGGAGCTGGGGACGTGGCTCAGTGTTCGAGTGCCCCCGAGTTCAATCCCAGGTCCCCTCATGCCCACCCATCCCCCCAAAAAACAAATTCTAGGTAAGTCTTTGCAACTTAGCAAGACCCTGTCTCAAAATAAAAAGGGCTGGGTATGTAGCTCAGTGGTAGAGCACCCTGGGTTCAATATCTAGTACCATACATACACCCAAAGAAGGAATAACTAGAAAATGATTACTTTGAAGAGAATCACCTTTATAGATATGTAAGTTCCAAGTGTGAGGTGGCAGGATCTTTGTAATCCTTTACAATCACATCTTAAATAAAGATAAAACCAGTAAGAGAACACATTTTTATGTGAGACTTCAAAGAAATTTTGGTGTTATAGGGACATCACCAGCAGATGGATAAACTCAGTGTAAGTGACGGTAAATAATAGAACGGTGCCTGGGACAATTTCACAAGAAAATTTCACCTACAGCAATGGCTATAAACGTTATCTTACATAAATTGTAAATAAGCTTCTGATAAAACCATTAAAATGTCAATGCATGACTATTTATATCAGCCCTATTTCAAAAAAAGAATGCGAGGTGAGCAAATCCCTGGATTCAGTTTCTGAGCCTTCCTTTGCTAATCATAATGTCCCCCAAGGCAATGTCCAAATGCAGAATACCAAGAACCCTTCATTCCAGCCAAAGAAGAAATCAATGGCCAAACAGCACTTACAAGACAATATCAGATCCCATGTCAAACATTCTCCACACCCCTCCATTCTTGATTGGTCCCATTTGCTCTCCAGCTATGCATGACATGGCCTCCCAGAGTAGGTACTCAAGCAACCACTCTTAGTGAGCTACTTTCCAGTGTGATCTCCAAAGCCCCAATGTCTCATTTCCCAATGGCACCCATATAACCAGACCCTATCATGAGCAGCTTTACCTCTGGGATGGATGATGCTGAGGCTTCTCACTTATCAAGTCTATTCCTCCCAGATTTCCCGCTCCCCTGCCCTAGTTTCCTGTACCCCTAAGTGAACATTCAAGCCATGTCCACTACCAACAGACCAGGAGAACCTGCCAAAGGTGCAAAGCTAATATAGGAGTCGGGAACATTCCCCTGCATTTTCCTTGGGTACCCCATGGCTGAGAGGCTTG